GCTTCAAGAACATGAAAGTGGGTACTAAGCCTGATACTTTTGAATTCACCTTTCAGAGTTGGCCTCATTTTCCAATCATCTTTGAACAGGTTTGCAAAGTGAAGCCAAACCTCATTCTTGACAGAAGCTGGGTCCTCAAGATTCACACCCTCAACTGTGATGGAGTTAATAGTGTTCCTGGTTTGTCTACTAGTGGCCATGACATGGAAAAACCTGGTGTTCCTATCCATTTTCAGATTCCAGTCCAATCTAGATTTTTGGAGCCATTCACATTCCATCTTCCTGCTTAGTGACAACATTTCATTCCTTTTCTCTCTTTGCAACATCAATTCATCTACATCCAGAGGTCTAGTTTCAGCTTTTAGATCAAGATCATGCAGAGCAGTTTCAGAGGCTTCTAATTTTTTTGCAATATTACCATAAGTCTCTTGATTCCAATTTTTTAGGGCCAACTTCAGGGACTGCAATTTCCTCTTCAGGATGCATCCTGTAGATCCATACAGTTGAAGATCTTCCTAATTGCTCTCTACTAAGGAAGCCAGTGTTGGATGTAAGGTCCTTGCATTCAGAAATTTGAAAGGTTTGGGCCCCCAGTCCCTACCATCCTCCATGAGAAGAAGTGGGCAGTGGTCAGAAATAGTTCTTGGAAGACCCCATAGTTTGAGTTTATATCTCACTAGCCATTCAGGACTAAGAAGAAATCTATCTATTCTACTTCACTTTTTCCCTTCAAGAGTATTACACCAAGTGAATTTTCTTCCTAGCATTTGGACATCTACCACCTCACAATTATAAATGAAGTCATTAAACTCCTGCATGCCTCTATCCCTGCAAGAAACTCCTATTCTTTCCCCTACATTCCTAATTTCATTAAAGTTTCCACCAAGGCACCATAGGTTTACAAAAATTGTTTTCAAATTTAACAGGGTCACCCATAAGGCCTTCATCTTTGATACATCATTTAGGGCATAGATATTAACCAAAACACAGTCAAAAGGATTGTGAGCCTTACCTGATAAGAGAATAAACTTCCTGCTGTTACAGCAATCTGAGAGATGAAAGACATCAGGATCCCAGATGCAGATTAATCCCCTAGTCAGTCCTGCAGCATCTATAGTCATGAATTCTATCTTGTCTCTAGGCCAAAGACTTTTAACCCTTAAGTGTGCAACACATGATTGCTTTGTCTCTTGAAGCAAAGCCATATCTACTGCCTTATCATGCAAAATCTTTCTGATTTTCCTCCTCTTTTCAGGCCTTCCTAGACCTCTGACATTCCAGCTTAGAATCTTCATGAATAACAGTTATAGTCCGGATTGCACCCATCAGGAAGCTTGTTATTCCACACTAGCAGTACCTCAAGCCATTCTCACTTTATCTTGCTCCTCCATAAGTATGAATTTCTTGACAACCTCAGATTCCTGGCCCTTGTGGTCAATCCCCAAGGCTTCCCCTACCTGAAGTGTTTCAAGAGCCTCTTAAAGAATTTCCTTTGAAGAGGAGGTATGAATTGATTCTGATGTGTGACTGGATGAGGAGTGAATAGTTGAAGATCTAGCTCTAATTCCTCTTTTGAACCCAGTGCTTGAACCGGCCCCTTTGTGCCCTACCCTTCTTGCAAATCTAGAAAATCTTCATGCAAATAAAGATTGCTTGATCCCTTATCTTCTAGCACCTTTCCTTATGCCTTTCTTTAAACGGTTGCTAGTGGATCCTGAAGAGGATGGCCTGAAAGTGCTCTTGGCCTTAGGTTGTGGACACCCACCAGATGCTTCACAAAACTGCTTCATAACTAGAGTATTAGGTTCATTATTAAAGGGCCCAGTGGGCAGCAGATTTAGTTGGGGATCTGGCTCATTGGGCTGCAGCCCACTTTGAGCATGGCCTAAAGTAATCTCTATACAAATGTCAGGCCTATCTTTTGAAGTCTACTAAGGCTTTTAATAAAGCCTGAGGTAAGGGTATGACCCTCAACTGCGGGGCCAACTAAGGGACTAAACTGAGGATCTTGATTGCACTCAACCCTCTTCTGCAGAGTATCTATAGCTAGTTGTTTTTCTACACCTTTTTGGGCAAAATGATTACTCCTCTAGTGTAGGCTTTTTACTGTCAGTAATGATTCAGCCACACATGTGCCTTCTTCGTTTGAATTCCCAATACAAGCTACAGTCTCTGCTACAACTGATGTGTTACTCCAGCTGGCTCCTGCAGCCAGCTCATCCATAGCCTTCATCCCAGATATCATACCTTTATTGGTTCTAGTAGACACTCTTGCCATGACATCTGCTATGTCACCATCTTCCTCCTTTGGTTTGTGTTTTTGACTGAGTTGGACTACGCCATGGATTTTGGAGCAGACAGCTTCAACTGGCTCCTTAGAGAGTGTTTTTTTACAACTGAGGCTATCATCCATAGCACAGTGCTCTTCAAATACTCGAATAGGATATACTCGTCCTTTACACTCCAGATTGATACTTGTATTAATCGGATCCATTACATCAGTAACTAATTTGAATCTGCCACTTCTAAATGATATTAGTGCACCAATATTATCATCTAAGAATACCACCTTGCCCCCATATGCTTCCAATCCTTCTGAATGTGTTTGAGCTCCAGAGGTTTGGGGGTACCCCAAGACAGCTGATCCAAACTTGCCTCTGTTACTGTAGGTACAGACCAGGACTCCAAACTGTGATGTACTCGCACCAGTCATAGAACCATTCCACAACCATAGACTTTTTGCCCAACAAGTCTTCTTTGGAGGGGAATGAAAGAAAAACATCTCGCCCCCCTCCCTCTCTTACCAGCACATTTTGCTCTTCTCTTTTGATTAGTTCATTTTTCACCTGTACAGAGGTGTGCTCTGGTTTGAGTCTCATGATCAAATTGTTATAAAGCCAACCGTTTCCTATCTCCTCGGCTCTTATTGTTATCGTCAGAGCAGATCTGGGGTGATCCCCTTTAATGACTTCTGCAAACGATCTCCGATCAGTGCCATGGTTCCAGATGGATCTTTTGGCCACTACGGATGTGTTTCTTACCATAGGTTGTCTGGTTGAGGAGTTTTTTCCTCGCTATCTTGCCTCTGTATGTTTATCAAACGTTGCGATTTTTGACTGAAAGGGATTTATCATCTACCCATGAGCTCTTTGTTCTACAACGTTAGTTGCAATAGAGCAATCATACCGAACAAACCCAAATCTAGAGTTTGTTGCTTTCCTTCTCTTATGTGGTATGAAGACGCCTTTGACCACTCCAAATTTGCTGAACAGATCATACAGGTTCCTTGGTGCCATAGATTCAGGCAAGTTATCCACGAAAAGCGTAATCAAGTTTGCTCTGGTTCTTTCAGACCGCGAACTCGGATTTGATTGTCTTCCTCTTTGCTTCACCACTGGAATCCATCCACCACGATCTCCTTTGTTAGCCATCCCTCAACAATACTAGTTTTAATTACCTCCCATGAAACTCAAATATAACTTCTAGAAATGGCAGTAAAACTTACTCACCTAAAAATTGGGGAGTGATGGATCTGGGGTTTACCGCTATGAATGTAATGTTGGAGCTCAAACTCTTGAAGTTCGGACGGGTGGCTTGGAACTCTAAGCTTTTTGTTAGCAAATTGTGTGTTTATATGCTCAAAAAATAGGAATAATGGTAAGGAAATTACAAGACACTATTAATCAAGCATGTAATTATGTAATATTTTGAAACTCATAGAATAATTTCAAATTTTTTTAATTAATCATGTGAACTTAGCATGGTGAACGCAAATTATATCCATTCACACTAACAATATATGAATGCATAATTTTAATCAAATTATAGTCTTTAGCACAAGCCAAATGAAATATATATAGATTTTTTTTTCTTAAAAATGACATATTTCTAACTCATTTCCTCCTAACCCTTGCATATCCCGATAAGTAATATTCAAAATTCTTGTAAGAAATTTACCTAGAATAAACTTCTTAGCATGTAAAAGTGGGATTGAATTAGTACATTATAAAGTTCATGCATTGAACAAATTTGGATCATATATTAATATTGTTAGAAAAAAAATTCTAAAAAAAATATATAGGGTATGTTTGGTTTGAGTTTGGGAGATGAGTTTTAGAGATAAAAAGTACAAAAAGTTGTTTGGTTTGATTTTTTTTAAAAGATGTTTTGAAAAATTATTTTGAGAGAGAGTTTTGGAAAAAGTGATTGATTTAGTGTGTATGAGAGAGAGATTTGTTTGGAAAACTTATAAACCAAACAAGTTTTGAGAAATTTTTTTGAAAAAATTTGTTTGGTTTGATTACTTTTAAAAATTTATTTGTAGAAAATTTTTCTTAAAATTTTTTAAGAAACACAAACCAAACAAGGCCATAACTTCTGAGTATGTAGTATAACTAGATCCCGGTTGTAAGTTTGTTGTTCCAAATCCCTATTAAGGTTTTGAAAATGACCTTTTCCTGATATTACATAGAGTAAGAACCTTTTTGGTAATTTCGGTCCCTTGAGCATGCCCAAAAGTTGTTAGCTGGAGGAGCCTAAAATAATTTTCTATTTTAAAAAGGGTAAATCACAAATATACCTTTTGAGATTTGATAAAAATACAAACCATTTCTGTGATTTTGGAAATTATATTCCACTCCTTGAGGTTTCTAATTTCATAATAAATCGCTCATTTTATTAATAAATTATCAAGTCAATTAATAGTTTTTAATGATGTTATAAATATGTTTCAATTAATAATTTAAGTAATTTTATTATTATATAGGAGAGCAATTATAAATTTTTTTTTAGTTAATTCTATTAAATAAAAAATTTTAACAATAAGATATTTGTAATTTTTTCAAACTAGAGGAAATGACCTGTACTTTAAGTAAATGTTATGGAGTGTATTTATAATTTATCCTCTTAAAAATCAATGAGGAACATATATTTCGTTTTAATAAAGTAAAAATATATATTACTGTTCGACCTCTCTTAGTTATATATATTTTTGTCTTAGGTATATACTACAAATAAATATCACAAGAAGCATAAGATATATAATATAACTGACTGACCACCATCTATCTTTCTATCTTCCTCTGCAACTATTTCATCCCCCACAAGCTTCCAAACAAAGAGAATTAATGGAAAGTGAGATTTGCAAGTTTTATTCTTGTTGTTGTCCTCTGATATGTAATTTACGATAAACACACCAAACCCAATCTTATCAAGTCAATGGGTATCTCTTCCTTTCTTGATTCCCTAACTTCAAACCATGGTTTCCCAATCTAAACCCTCCAAGATTCGACATCTCTCAATCCATGGCTTGCTTTGAGATCATCAAGGAGAAGAAGAAGATTCACCGAGTCTGGGGGTTTGGGCTTCTGGGTTTTTCAATATGACCACCGTAGCTGGCGGTCATGGTGGCGGTTGTGGCGGTGGTGGTGGTTGCTCTGACGGTTTCAGTCTTATGAGTCGATTACAAGGGTATGAGTATTGTTGTAGTGAAAGTTGCTTAGGATATGATCTAGTTGTTGTTGGTCCTATGGCAGAAGATGAGTCAAGAACTGAGAGTGTCAATGAAGCAGGTTCGAGTTCGAAGGATGTTCAAGATGAGAGGGAGGAAGGGTGGCTTCAATTGGGTATCGGTAGTCACATGACAAGTCATGACAACAAGCCCGAAGATCAGCTTGATCAAACTACTAGAAGAGCCAGTTTGATCGAGCTTGATCTTCTACCTAGCGGGGGTAGCTCACAACATGTGAGATCACTACCACCGCCAGTTTTTCATATGCCTGAGTTTCGTGCGCCAAGGCCGGTTTCAAATATTACAAGTGCCAGTTTCTTGTCACAACGGGCAGCTATTTCGACTTTCCCTCATCATCAAGAGATTAACTGGGCGTTTAGGCCTATGGCGCGAAACTTAACGGTAGCAGTTCCTTCTTCATCGTCTTCTTCTTCTTTAATGCCACCGGGATCATATTTCACCCGGCCATTTCAACTCCACGCTGGAGTAGATGTACCTGCAGGGCCAAGTTTAGATTTCAGAATAGTTGATCCTCCTCGGAGACCCCATTCTGGGATATGGTTTATGCTTCAAGCATCACAAAATCAGTAAGTGCAAAATGGATAGAAAGTAACAACAAATGTCTACAATTATATTATTCATAGAAAAAATTATTAGGAAATTTATATTTTTGTTTCTCTATGTTCTTCAAGAAAATAAAGCAATCTCATGTACGATGAATTGTACGTGGTTTCTCAATGCAGATCGAAAGAACCCTTTTTGCCTCAGATACCCAAGAGCTACCTGAGAATTAAGTAATTATCACGTCCTTAATTGTCTATTTGTTTTCATTTATTTTTCTCATTACCCAAAATGCTTTTGCTTTTTGTTTTTGTTTTGATTGTTGTTTCTACTTCCTAAGGGATGGAAGGATGACAGTTCGATTGTTAATGAAGTATCTGGTTAATAAGCTCAGACTCGATAGCGAATCAGAGGTATGTAGTATCATCATATCATTATTGAATCTTCATTAAATTTCAAATGCTTATAGAACTAGTTGATTAGTACCTACCATATCATTAAATGAAAGATTGGCAAAACAAAAGTACAAAAAATGAAAAAAAAAAAAAAAAAAACATAGCTATGTTTTCAACCAGCAAATTAATTACAGGTACATGGACATGGTTGGTAAGAGAAACATGACAGAAACAGCAGAACTAAATGGGGTTCTCGTAGTAATATTTATCATTCTTGATTGCATCATATTTAGGTGTGAAGTATATTTCTAGGTAGCTCTTTTCTCTTTTTGTATTATTATCCTTTTATCTTATAATCCATTGTCTAGCAAGATAGATTATGAGCAACCAGGTGTTTTGACTAATTAAGGAAATTATCTTCACTAAAGTTTTTATGTTTAGTTAGTTATTAATGTGTTAGTGATGAGATTAAGGTCTGAGGGTCAAGTGAAGAAATATGGAGATAGATAAATCTGAGAAATACATGCCACACCTCTTTCTTGATTCCAAATAAATGGAAGAGAATTGGGCTTTCATTGTTGTAGATATGTGGGTTTAATTACTGTTTGCTTCATATACTATTTAAGGAACATTTCATTGATTTGGGGGTACTTGCATTAAATACAAGAGAAAATGCACCCAAATTTAATGTACATAATCATAGAAACAGAAATTTTGGACCAACAAAAATCTATTGTTTATAAGCATTTTGCATATACATTAAAGCAGTAAGTATACCAATGGTTTGGATACTCGATTATCAAAAAAATAAAAAACAAATAAATAAGTAAATAAACCAAACAATTCTCAATGTATGTATTTTGTCACATTTTGATCCATTACATTCTAATTGTGTCAATTTAATACGTAAAGTATTAAATGTGTCCTTATGTGATCCTTGTGATTGATCCGGTTCCAAATCACTAACCGAAAGGAAGGTATTTTAGGAAGAAATGTCAAAGTAACTATAGTAATAGTCTGTAATGAATGCACAATTGAAACATGGAGACCAAAGTCACAAGGAGGGAATACATCGGGCACCCTTAGTTTAATTAGTTTGATTGTTATTTTTTCAAAAATACCCTTTATTTTTGTTAGTGGTCCAGAACGCTGGCATACATAAAAACCACAAAATACACATTTCATATTTTAGGGACTAAATTGACACATCTAAAAATATGAGGGATTCAAAATGCCACTGAGCGGATAGATTGAGGACCATTATTGTAATTAGCCATACATTGAAAGATTATAGAGATATTAAATAAAAATAAATGTTGACAAGTGCTTAGGGAAAAACTTGTAGTAAAATTTATATATATATTTTTTTTTTTTTTTTTTTTTTTTTTTTTTTTTTTTTTTTTTTTTTTTTTTTTTTGATCAGCATAAGAGAGAGTTTTATTGATAATAAAAAAGGTACATAGTTAATAACATACATCAATAAATTGGGACAGAGCAAAAAGTGTCATAACTAAGCTAGACGATCCCAATTATGTATCAGATCTATGAAACTATGTATACGTTGGATCTCATATATAATCTCACAACATAGTATGGATCCACTTCGCCTTCTCGACGATTGAGAAAAAAGTATGCAAACAAGACCTGTAATTGAAATCAAATTCATTTGTTGCAATGAGTTTTGAACCTGTTTACTATTACGGGAGAACTCTCAGCAACGGTAAAGTTTATTTATTTATTTATTTTTATCGACAAAATAAATTTTTATTGATGAAAATATACAAAATATGATAAACTACATCAATAAATAGGAGCTCGGAGCTAGCTTAAACTCCAAGTATTGGACAATAGTGTGGAGTATACTTGACAGACAGTCATTTTTTTTTTTTTTTTTTTTTTCTTTGATCGTTAAAAGAAATCTCTATTGATGAGAAGAAGATTACATCAATAAAGAGGAGCTTGGAGCTAGCACAAGCTCCAAGCTCCAATTGGTGAGAAACCAACAAAACAAAGCAAGAAAAACAACAAGCCAACCAATAGTCATTATAAAAAATTATTGATTATCAACTCATTTAAAAACTTAAACCGTAGAGAGTAATAACTCTATTATTTATATATTTAACATCTGGAACCAATAGTCTTTATCTTAGTATAGTCTCTTTCCATCATACAACAACATTAAGAAGAAAAAAACATATGGATTTAGACACTGCCCACTCTTCTCATCTAAGAAAATTCTCTTTTTCCGTGATCAAAAGAGTCTTTGTTCATCACGAAAATATTCTTCAGCCTGTGTGCATTGGGTTGAGGTAACTAATTTGTAGTTGCTTAATGCATTGTTTGTGTAGTATTTTTAATCAATAACGTAATAATTTTTTTTATCACGGGATAATACTAACGTACTTTTGTGTAGTTGAGAGACAAAGATGACTTATTGTAAATCAACTAGGCCTAGCCTAGTTGGTCACTATGTCTTCCTTAGGGCTTAATCCCAAGGAGGTCATATGTTCAATTCTCCTTAGGGGGGTTGAATTAAGGGAGTGGAAGTACTTAGGTGCTTTGCCAAGAATGGAGAGATTTTTTCCCATAAGTGCTAATCTAACAACTAACAATTAACATTTGCCGATCAAAAAAAAAACTTATTGTATTTTATGATTTCTCATTTATCAAGAACACTACATAGACAACGTCACCAAATAATCTAGGACTATCTAACAATTTTAGGCGAGGTGGGGAGTGGTGGATTATTTAGAGTATTTTTCATATCTATACTCCTTTGAACTACTGATCATTGTTAGGGAATTTTGGACGGAAATATAGAAAAAAGTAGCTTCTGTTACATATTGTTTTATCATAACTCCTTCAAGATTCTCATAATGGAATAAACTTTTTTTTGATCGGCATAAAAGAAACTTTATTGATGGAATAAACAAGTACAAGGAATAAACTTGATAATCAGATTTACATTCATTTCATTGTCTCCATGAAGTTGGGGTTTATTTTCCCATAACATCCATTAAAATGTTCCCTTTCCTCCATTCTGACGAATTAAAGGCCCAAGTAGCATATGCTGAATATGTGTAGTGAAATCTTGAAAAAATACAAGGCATATAGTTCTTTCTTTCTTTCTTTTCTTCTTCTTCTTCTTCTTCATCTTCTTCAATTTGTTTTTTTTATTTATTATTATTTGTTTTTAATTAAAATAGAATAGGAACACGTACAATCTTTGAACATCTAGGAAAGCCACTACAAAATCTCACCTATTCCTTCCATTTTGTTATGAATGTAGTTCTTTCCTTTACAAGTGATGTATGTTTTAGCAGAAGTATCTATAAACCCTAGTTTCAGTAGTTATTTGAAGAACAAATATTTACATATACTTGGCATAATTTTAAACCTTTTTCCTTCTCTTTGATCAATTAATCCTATTTAAACTTGATTTTTCAATTGAATTATCTAGTATAATCTATCCTTTACTCCCAAGTCCAAGCCCAAGAAGTATGAGAATTATCACTGTCCAGTCCTTATCTAGTTGTATTTTGTATATTTTAAGCTAATAAATTTTATTTTCCGATAAAAATAAAATAAAATAAAATTTAGACTATTGTTTTCCGTTTGTATGTAATAAATTATAAGAAAAAACTATAGCCATATAGCAATGGCATATGCACGAGATGAAACGAATTAAGTGTCCATTGTACCACTCTATTTAGATTTCAAGATCGTTTCGATTCACCTTCTACAGAGATTCTCATTTAGAAGCCTATTATTTAGAGCTGTAATTAATGCTTTCGATAGTTGTTTATTTAAACTACACTTTTTCAAATTACTTCAATCATAAATCAAGCATACATATTTCTGATGCTACATAATTGAAAATGTGGGGCTTTTTTATTTTTATTTTTTTATTTTTTTTATTGTGGAGAAGATGAATTTCCATGGTTGGTGAATAGCTAAGCCATTTCAGCTTTGTTTTAGCAATGATGTTTCCACGAGGTAAAATAGATGAGAGCTTATGGTCTTAAATGTTGAACACACGTAAAAAGAAGGTATCACTACTATTTCTTTAGAATTGTATGATTGATTGTATAGTAGGTGTCCATCTGTAGTTCCTTTCCATAGTGGACCATTTCTAGGTACTAAAGAAGTCCCTTCTTTCCTAAGGTGTTCGTGCCATATCTTAATACCAGAAGAAAGTCATTTCTTGAGGGTAAAGCTAGGTTGGAGACGCGTACTAGAACCCATCTTAATCTTCAAACTAGGGTTTTAAACTAGGTGATGTAGGGAAGTGAATGAAATGAACAAACATATAAAGAAAAATAAAAACAACATGAAATAGAGAAAACTTTCTCTCAATTTGTACTCTTAATTAATGACTGAGTAGCTTCAATGGCTTACAATGCTATTTATAAGGAAAGTGGCTAGTTAACCATCCCACACCAAAATCCACCCCATGGTTACAAAAAAATAATTAAAAAAAAAATTACAAGTTCAGCTCAAATTTGGAATCTAAACAAAAAAAGAAACTTCTCGAAAAAAATTCCTAACTCAATACAAATTTGATTGAAACTCTAAATTGAGTAGTCAATTTTTTTCAAAAACAATAAATTTCCAAAAATTAGGTCAGTGTGCTTATTATTTATGTAGTATTTGCTATGGCACGATTGTGCTACCGCTACTATTTTAGTTGTTTTAGATTATGCAACATAACTCTTAATGGCACCAGCACAATGCATATATTTTATATGGATTTGAAGAATATTCAAAATACATTGACACAAAATGGCAACTTACATTCTTTTTTAGTTTCTAATTGATTTTCAAAATAACACAAAATTCTTCCCAAGTTCTATTCATGTGCCCTCACATATTTTCATTGTTGAAGTAACAATATAAAACAAAATATTTACAATAAGGAAAAAAAAAAAAAAAAAAAACCGAAGAAGAAAAAGAAGCTAAGTAAATTATAATTGGAATTGCCAGCCTGACAACTATGGTGCAGTGTTGAGTGAATTTTT